TATCGCCCGATCACTCTCCTTTCCCCGGTAGCGAAGACACTTGAGGCCCTGCTGCTCCCGTACTTCACGAACCACCTGACCCCAGCGAAGCATCAACATGGGTTCCGTAAAGTGCATAGTACAACAACAGCACTTAACGCCATAAACACTCAGATAACTCGTGGCCTAAACCCTGTGAGAGAACTATTCTAGTAGCGTTGGACCTGTCCAAGGCGTTCGACACTGTCAGTCATTCAACGCTACTAGAAGATATAGAGGCCTCCTCACTCCCACAGGGACTCAAACGGTGGTCGGCGAATTACCTGAGTGGTCGACACTCGTCAGTAATCTTCAGAGACAAAACCAGCAAGCCACGTAAAATTAAACAGGGGGTACCACAGGGTGGTGTCCTGTCCCCGCTACTGTTTAATTATTACATATCAAAGCTTCCTCAGCCACCAGAGGGTGTTAATATAGTCTCATATGCTGACGATTGTTCGATCATGGCGTCTGGGAATGGAATTGATGACTTGTGCTCAAAAGTAAACGGTTACCTCTCCGAACTTTCTCGCTTCTTCACTGCAAGTAGCCTAGCCCTATCCCCTGCGAAATCCTCGGCAACCCTTTTCACCACCTGGACGAAGGAGGTCAGACTGCCTCTGGGTATTCACGTCGATGACGTAACAATACCGACGGTGAATAACCCGAAAATCCTCGGAGTTACCTTCGACAGTCTGCTCTCCTTCTCGGCGCATACAACCGCAATTGTCAACAAAGTACAGAGCCGCAACAATGTCCTCAAGTCGCTGGCCGGCAGCACTTGGGGCAAAGATAAAGAAACGTTGTTGGCAACATACAAGGCAATTGGCCGGCCGGTTCTGAACTACGCAGCGCCCGTATGGTCGCCGGGGACTAGCAGGACGCAGTGGATGAAGCTGCAGAACTGGCAAAACACGGCATTACGTACCGCGACAGGATGCCTCCTGATGACGCCTCTACATCACCTTCATGACGAGGCCCAGATGCTCCCGGTAAAGGAGTATAACTTAATGCTTTGCAAGCAGTTCCTCGCTGGGAGCTACAGACGTGACCATCCCAGCGGGCAACTGCTCGCGGAAGAGCTCTCGCCACGGTACGTCAGGAGGCATCTTTACGAACTGACAGACGAAGTCCAGAGGTATATTCAACAACGTCTGGACCCGACAACCTACCGACAGGCCCTCAACGGCATTCACATTGAATCAGTCTCAAGTTATGTAGACTCCCGCCCTGTGAATGCCGTTCTAGGCACACAACCACCGGACGTGGACGGGACAGAACTTTGTCTGCCTCGGGAGACCCGCACAACAATAGCCCAACTTCGCTCTGGCTATTGCAGCAGGCTCAACAGCTACCTGAGCAGAATCAACGAGGATGTGCCCAACCAATGCCCGGCATGTGGAGAGTCGCCACATGACTCCCGGCACCTCTTCACATGCCCTGAGAATCCCACTCAGCTAACGCCCCTGTCCCTATGGACAGCCCCTGTGGAAGTCGCACACTTCCTGGGCCTCCCCTTAGCTGAAATAGACGACAACGATGATGGATGAACCGTCCCGAACGGGGCTTAGTAGCCGCTACAACAACAACAACAACAACAACAGAGGGAAAATGAAATTCATGTAGAATCGAATTCAGCAGCTAAAGAAAATGCCTATATTTTAAACATTTTAAAAACCCAATTTAGTTGAGCCTTTCAGTATCAGAATTAGTTTCACGCATAAAANGAGTAACTGGAATTATGATTAACCAAAATTTTGAGTAATCAATTAATCGCACAGCCCGAATAAAAATACATTTTTAACAATCCACATTTTTATGTACTTATAAATAATCTGCATACATAAAAATAGTAACACTAAAATGAAAACATCAAGCTTTCTTCCGCTTCTTCTGCGCTGGTAAACCACTGTCAAACTCGGACGTAGTGAGGGCTCGAGACACTGGTAGCATTTTTACCAGTTTATTGCTCTGTGGGCGATTGCTATCGCGTACTTCATTGGTCACTGTGGTAGTAAAGCGACGCTTTTTGGCACGTTTCTCCGTTTTAATTTTTTCGGGATCTCTAAAGGTGAAATAAGAAAATAGTAGTAAAAAGCAACACAAACATTATTTTTACATAAGACTACGTAGGTATCCTCGTCATCAATGCAAAAGGCCCTATTTGACGCATTTCCGGAAATGCGTTTTCCTGTAATATTCCAGAGTCACTAAGGGCCAGTTGTTCAATGTGTGATTAGCACTAATCGGAGGTAGAAGCTCCGGTTAAATACAAAAACTGCTTTATCCACAACATGCATGAAGTCGAAAACGTCGATAATAATATTTAACCGGGAAGTAGTGATAACCAGACATTGAAAAACTGGCCCTTAAAATGATAAAATGAAACATTAAAATTTGCACTAAATTTATTATACCCGAGCGCACTTGTGCACAAGGGTATTATAACTTTGTTCACATAACGGTTATTTGTAACAGACAAAACGAATCGAGATAGATATAGACAAATGTATACATAAATGATCAGAATGAAAAGAGAATTCGATTTAGCGATGACTGTCTGTCCGTCCGTCTGTGCACACGATAACTCGAGCAAAAATTTAGATATTTTAACGAAACTTTGTACGTGCACTTCTTTCGGACGTAGGACGGATGGTATTGAAAATGGGCACAATCGGACAATAACCACGCCTACCTCCCATATAACGGTAATTTTAACAAATACAAAATCTTCGATATTTTAGTTACTACCGAAGATTATTTACTCAAAATTGATATTTACAATAATTTTTAGACGAAAAATAAGGATATTATAAATTTTTAAATATATTATATATATTATATTAAATATTAAAGCTAATTTATTCAAAATTGATGCTTGCGACAATTCTTTACCAAGAAATACGTTTATGATACAATTTTGTAGAATGGGCGTGGCACCGCCCACTTATGATCACATATATGTATCTCGGTAACCGTTCTACCAATTTGTACCAAACTCAATATGGGTATTGTGCTTGCCACATAAAACGCTGAAAATTATTTTGAAATCGGACTAAAATTGAGGCCCTCTTCATATAACGATAAATTTCAGAAATGCTTGAAACTCCAATATTTCGAATTTAAGGACGCTAATTTACTCAAAATTGGTACACCCCGGTTTACCATGTAGCTTTCGGAAAAGTGAAAATCATATACATATTTACTACTTGCGCCGAGTATTTAATATTCGGCGCCGCCCGAACTTTGATTTTCTTACTTGTTTTTATTTTTTATATGGTCCCTATGTGTATTTTAAAAAATACGAGATATAATACCATCTTTTAAACAGCCCTACACCTAACAATTTTCTATGAGTTTTTTCGTTCTTTAAAATTAAAAAGTTGTCAAACAGGGCCTTTTGAATTGTTGATGACTATATGCAGTTACAAGCTGTCTTTAGGTAAAAAAGACAAAAGATTAAACATTCTTCTCTTGAAAGTAATTTTAAAGGTCTGATGGCCGCTATTGTATGGTGGTAAGCAGTTCGCGCTTACACTCCGCAGTGCCTGGGTTCAAGCCCTGGTCAAAGCAGCATCGCAAAAAATATAGAAAAAAGGCTTTTTCTTTACAGCGGTCGCTCTTCGGCAGGCACGGCAGGCAATGGCAAACCACCGAGTGTATTTCTGTCATGAAAAACAGCTTCTCATAAAAATACAATCGCCGTTCGGAGTCGGCGTAAAACTGTAGCTCCTCCCATTTGTGTGACAACATCAAGGCGCATGCCGCAAATCGGAGGAGAAGCTCAGCCAAACCCTAACATACATATGTTTAAGCGCCAATCTATTATTATAAAACGACCTTCAAAAGAAAAATCACTATTTTATAATCTTTTGCCTTAAGAATGAAGTTACAAAACTTTTAAATACATTTTTTTGTTTTTGTGACCATGGAAATGCATTTCCCGATGCAAGAACAGCAAAAATATCTCAGGAAAGAATTTAGATTTTCAATATTCCGGTGGCATTTAAAACCCCAAGAACACTGAGTGATTTATAATATTGGGGGAAAAATTCCGAAAGAAAATTCGCCTTGGTATCGCGTTTCGATACCAGTATTGTTTTTCGATACCTATTTACTTAGTACTTGGTTCAACAGTATCGATACCAAAATTACTTGGTATCGGGCGAAAAGTATCGAGTATGTACTTGTATTTACTCCTATCGTTTCATCTCTAGTATCTGGCGCTAGCCTCCAACAGAGGGAAGAACAGCGTCAGGGATTTTATACTTTCAAGTGAATAAGACCATTTCTGTCTTACTTGGATAGACGATTTTCGATTTAATTTTCTAACAGCAATTTTACGAAAGGAATTTAAGTGAAAAATGATTTTAATTTTTTGAATTGACAGAAAATAAAAAATCATTTTCCATTTAAATCGCTGGTGAAAACGGCTGAAAGTGTTTTAAGGATGAAAAATTTAAAAATAGGCCCAAAAAAATCAGCGAGGCCAGTAACTGAAATTTTTTCGAAATCCTTGTCTTTTGTTTATATTTAAGCCATAACTGAATATTAAATTTGCAGGTTAGATCTTACTACTTTTTTCCTTACCTCTCTGTGTATGTCAAACGATTTGTAGGCGGCGGAGGCTTAGGTTCCGTATGTTTCTTAGTAAATGTTTTGGGTTGATCCTTCAGGCCAAAGCTTTTCGCAAAATGTCCCATATGTGCGTTTTTGATATTAAATATTGGTTTTAATTCCTTTGGGAAAGTTGAATACGATTTGGTCCAAGACACAAAAGCTGATAGTGAGTAAATTTCAATAAAATGAAAAAATTTATTACATAGTTGTTTTTAAATTCAAATACCAAGTGATACTTTTTTAACATAATCTATGGAAGATGTAAATATTGGGTAAGACGAGTAGTAACTAATAAGCGCCATTTTCTCGACTTCTTCTTAGGCCCGTTTTCACCATCTCTGGGTAACAGTAATCCCCAGTTAAACATCTTTACCGACATTGCTGGCTCCATGCATATAACATTGTGTTGGTAACGTCGGTAACGATGCTAAACTAGGGATTAGTACTAATAACACGTGTTAACCAGAGGGCCGTTTACACCAACTCTGGTTAAGGACCGGTTGCTCAAAGCCTGGTTAAACATCGTTATCGACGTTACGATACCGTGTTCCATGCATGGAGTCGAAAACGTCGGTAACGATGTTAACCGATAATTAGTGTCGACCAGGTTTTGAGCAAGCGGCCCTAATCGGAGGTAGAAGCTCTGGTTAAATACAACGACTGCTTTATAATGATGTTTAACCGGCAAGTAGTGATAACCAGCCCTAAAGGCTCTGTTATGCATACTTGGCAGTGCATGCACTACTTTACCATTTTTACGTAGAAATCAAAAACCAACAGACTTCTGCGTACATATGTAATGCTGTGCGTTGGGTAACCGCTTACACGCGAAGCTCATTTAGGGCCGTTTTCAACGTCTCTGGTTAACACTAATCCCCAGGATAAACATTGTTACCGACGTTACCGACCCAATGTTAAGGACCGGTTGTTCAATGTCTGGTTATCACTACCACTACACTATCGACGATTTCGACATCATGCATGTAACATGTGATCGATAAAGCAGTAGTTGTGCTTAACCGGAGCTTCTACCTCCGATTTGTGCTAATCAGACATTGAACAACCGGCCCTATATGAATGGACTCAGTACAGTCGGTAACGATGTTTAACTAGGGATTAGTGTTAACCAAGCCCTTAAGAGATTCCTTATGTAACAACTCTCAAGCAATGTCAAGTATGCATAACAGAGCCTTTAACTGTAGGTTAAACATCGTTATACACGTGTTCGGTTCCATAATGGATTTCGCCGACCTTAACAGGGTTAGATCGCCGAAACAACAGCCCTGGTCGGCTAAAACCCGAGTCATTCAGGTACGTAGAACCACCCCTGTGAGAGAACTATTCTAGTAGCGTTGGACCTGACCAAGGCGTTCGACACTGTCAGTCATTCAACGCTGCTAGAAGACATAGAGGCCTCCTCACTCCCACAGGGACTTGAACGGTGGTCGGCGAATTACCTGAGTGGTCGACACTCGTCAGTAATTTTTAGGGACAAAACCAGCAAACTAAACAAAATTAAACAGGAGTTTGTTGTTGTTGTTGTAGCGGCTACAACAACCCCGCCCAGATCGGATGATATCTCAGTCGTTGTCGTCAAGTTCCACTAGGGTCGGTCCACAGGGACAAAGGCGTTAGGGTTGGCGGGTTTTCCGGGTATACGAAGAGATGTTTCAAATCATGGGGTGTCTCTCCGCATGCCATACACTCATTTGGCACATCTTCGTTAAGTCTGTTCAGGTATAAGATTAACCTGCTGCAGTAGCAAGAAGTTGGGCTATTGGTGGTTGAGGGAGCTTTAAACAGTAGCGGGGAAAGGACACCACCCTGTGGAACCCCCTGTTTTATTTTTCTAAGTTTGCTCGATTTGTCTCTAAACATTACCGACGAGTGTCGACCACTCAGATAATTCGCCGAGAGGAAACCTCTATATCTTCTAGTAGCGTGGAATGGCTGACAGTGTCAAAAGCCTTTGACAGTTCCAACGCTACCAGAATAGTTCTCTCATAGGGACGGTTGCGGTTAGGGCCATATGTTATCTGAGTGTTTATGGCGTTAGGTGCTGTTGTTGTACTGTGCACTTTATGGAAACCATGCTGATGCTTCGCTCGGTTTAGGTAGCTCGTGAAATACGGGAGTAGCAAGGCCTCTAGTATCATCGCTACCGGGGGATGGAGTGTTATCGGCCGATAAGAATCTCCTTTGTTGGGTGGTTTCGCCGGTTTAAGCAGCGACACCTTCCAGATGTCTGGGATGATGAGAGTGGCCATTAATAATGTTGAGGACCTCCGTTAGGTACGCTACTCCCGCAGGACCAAGATTTTTCAGCATCAGAATGCATATATATAATGCAGCGCCGTGTGGTCGCTTGGGACTAGCAGGACGCAGTGGATGAAGCTACAGACTTGCCAGAATGCGGCACTACGGACAACGACCGGATGCCTCCTGATAACGCCCCAACACCAACTACACGACGAGGCCCAGGTACTCCCAGTCAAGGAGCATAACACAATGCTCTGCAAGCAGTTTCATGTGGGGAGCCACAGACGTGGTCATCCTAGCAAACAGCTGCTTGCAGAAGAGCATTCGCCAAGGCACGTCAGGAGGCATCTCTACCAACTGACGGGTCTACCACGACAGTCGGGTCTACGTAACCGGAACGACCCAGATTTATATCTGGTCAAGGACTGTCACTCGCGCAACACTCCCCAAAATCTCTTTGGGGAATTTGTATGCTGTTACAACAACCACAAGCAACTGACGGGCGAAGTCCAGAGGTTCATTAAACAACCTCTGGACCCGTCAGCCTGCCGACAGGCGCTGAACGGCATTCACAGGGAATCAGTCTCGAGTTATGTAGACTCCCGCCCTGTGAAAACCGTTCTAGGCACACAGCCAATTGACGTGGACGGTACAGAACTTATTCTGCCTCGGCAGACCCGCACCACAATAGCCCAACTTCGCTCCTCGGCTCCCTTCACATGCCCTGAGAATCCCACCCTGCTGACGCCCCCGTCCTTATGGACAGACCTTGTTGAAGTCGCACACTTCCTGGGTCTCCCCTTACTGAAACAGACCACAACGCTGACGGATGAACCGACCCGAGCGGGACTTGGTAGCCGCTACAACAACATCAACAACTCGGTAAACAGTTTTATTTTAGAGCTTTGTTGAAAAATGTTCAAAATTTTCCATTCCCATGTAAATATTCGCGACAGTAAAGTTACTACTTTCTTCTTAACAGACACAACAGCTACGCAAAAATAAATAATCGTTTTACCTTTACACGCATTTTTATGCAGTTCCTTATCATCAGCTATTAGTTCCTGAATTTTGTGCTGAAGGTTTGATGCCGCCTCTTGTACTGTCGTCGCATCATCGTCCTTTTCATTAAGAGTTTTTAAATAAATCTCCATGTCGACTTGTGATATTCTGTAATACATATTTATACTTTCAGAAAAAAGGAGCAATTATAATGCATTGAATTGTGACAAACCTGATACGATGATCCTCTAGGAAACGTACAAGCTGTGCTTCAGAGGGTGTGAGGAGCAAAAGCGCTTGCCCACTTTGACCAGCACGTGCAGTGCGTCCCACTCTATGCACGAAATCGGCAATATTCTGGGGCGGTGAATATTGAACGACAAGCTCCACTTTGGGGACATCCACACCACGTCCTGCCACATCCTGAAATTATTCCATGTAGTTATTTAAGTTATTATTTTTTTTATTAAAAAAAAGCAGATCTCAAATTTCTTCACCGTTGTCAACAGTACACCCGACTTGCATTCGCGGAAACCGTTGAACACACCTTGACGTTCAGTCTGCGACATGGAACCATGTAATCTAAAAAAAATTTATTTTTAGTACTTTTAATAGTGAACTTAAAAATTTTGATCTTACCTAAAGAATCGCAAGCCTTTCAGCAGCGCTGTTTCTTGGTCACTTTCACTATCATCTTCGTCTCTGACAACTTCTTTGTCCTCGTCGTCAAGAACTTTTTCAGTCAGCAACTCATTCAGTAAATCATGATGATAGTTTACCATCTCCATGGTACTCATAAAAACGATTGCCTTTAAACGCTGTTTTCGGTTAAACTCATTAGTCAAAATACCGCACAAGGTAACTAGGCGCAGCTTGGGAGGAACAACTACAAAATTTAACTTTAAATTTTCCGGAATAGTCATTATAGACGTATCTTCGCCATCATCCTGCATATCTGAATTTTGGGCTGCAATGTCGCTCTTTATATAGCCTTTCGTTTTCGGTTTGGTATTTGTGACAGCCTCATCGCTGTTGTCAACGAAAATAGGTTCTTTAAGGGTGAGACCGGCCAATCGTTGTACATTAGCGGTGAGCGTTGCAGACAGCAACAAGCGTTGTAGGTGCGGCACAGTATCTTTGTTTTCCTCCACAGACTTGGATCGTTGTGTATCAATTAATTCGACGATTTGTTTAACATCAAGTTCGTAACCCATTTCCAGTAGGCGATCCGCTTCATCTAACACTAAACATTGTGTTTTATGCACCTTGAACGTCTCTGTGTGCAGCAAATGATCAAGCACGCGACCTGGCGTACCAACTAATATGTTTATGCCCTTACGTATACGCGCCTTTTCTGCCTTGCGCCGCTCACCGCCCATCAATACACCAGGTACAATCCAAGTAAATGGTTTCACCAATTTTTGGAAAAGCTCGTATGTTTGCATGGCCAATTCGCGAGTAGGCACAATGATTACTGCTAGCACTCCTGCGTCGCGTGTAATTTTCGGTCGTACATCTTGTAGCTTTTCGACTACGGGCAAAGCATAAGCCAGAGTCTTGCCGGAGCCAGTTTGCGAGCGAATAAGTAAGTCTTTACCTTAAATTTTAATTGCATATTGTTATCAGTAAAAACATTTGTTTTAGAAAAATATAAATAACTCACCTTCAAGCGCTAAGGGAATCGTTTTCTTCTGTACTGTAGTAAGCTCGACAATACTCAAGATGTCAGCCAAATTCTTTACGGCATGTGGATGAATTTTTAAAGTGTCAACTTTTGTGCCATCAAAAAGTCGTTCTGTTATTGGTTTCACAAAACGTTGACCCATAACCGGTGTATCTGGACTATTTGAAAAGAGTCCTACTTTTTTCACTGACTTGTCGCACAGGCGCACAACTCGGAATGCGTTGGCTTTTCGTGCTATTAAATTCACTCCATTTTGCTGGTCATTTTCTCCGCTCTTTTCGTTTTCTTCATTTTTATCGTTAGGGTGCCTTCGCCGATCCGAAAATTTATTCGCATTTTTACCCTTTATTTTTGAAAATTCATTTGAATTACGCTCCTTAGTCTGCATAGCCTTGTTTCGCAAACGCTCAGCTTGACTTAATTTGGGCTTTGGTTTGGGCCGTATGATTGGAGCAGAATCGGTCGTAATATTAAGAATAAGCCCATCATCANTAGCCTTGTTTCGCAAACGCTCAGCTTGACTTAATTTGGGCTTTGGTTTGCGCCGTATGATTGGACCAGAATCGGTCGTAATATTAAGAATAAGCCCATCATCGATATTTGGAGGCTTGCTCTTAAACGAATTTTGTTGCTCCCTCTTCTGGGAAATACTTGAACTAACCATATTATCCCCATTTTGTACTATCTTTTGCACTCCGAGTTTAACTGAAGGTGTTTGTTTGCTAACGTTGGAAGATTGAGGCCTTTTAGCTGGCCGCTTACGTGCTACAATGGCTTTTACTTTATGCTGTGCACCGCCAAATGAAAACGTGAATCCTTCATTGCTCGACGCAGTGCCTCTAGAGAAAGTTTTCTTCTTCACAGGAGTCTTGGAAAGGGATGCAATAAAATTAATTTCAGCAATTTTTTATTTAACTGGCGTCGGCCAAACTTACAGGTACGCTTCGCGTTGGTGAAGGTACTGTTGCTATATTTAAAGCGATATCCATGCTTGCAAATTAATTTTTCGAATCAAGTGTTTGCAACATGTGTTCACGATATTTTGTTTTGACCGCGGTTTTCTATTTGGATGTATG